CCTGCCTACCTTGCCCAGGTCACCTCATGCCATGCTCCCTGGCCTCAAAGTCCCTCAGACTCACCAAGCCCATGCCAACCTCAGGGTCTTTGCACTCATGACTCCATCTTCCTGGAGTGTTCTTTCCATGCTTATCCTACTAACAGCTGACTTATCCTCCTTCAACTCACATGTCGCCTGTTCAGTCAGGCCTTTCTAGACAACCTGACCTAAAGAGACCACAACCAGTTTCCGTGTACAATGGGGACCCCCCCAAACCCAGAATTTGTCTATTAAAAATTGTGTATTTATTCTTATAAGTTTAAACTTTAGTCACCTTCAAAGTACTCTTTGTTTGATACATTACACCTGTCGAGATGCTTTTTCCACCGCTCAGTTTGTGAACTCGTCAATGTTGATGCCATTCAGTGCCTCTGCCATTTTTTGTTTTACCTTTTTCACATCGGCAAAATATTTCCCCTGGAGGACATTTTTCAGCCAGGGAAACAAACAGACAAACAAAAAAATTGCTCAGGTGAATAGAGGGGTGGGACGTGGGGGTCATGCTGGGAATAGAGGGGTGGGACATGGGTGTCAAAATTGCTGAACACTTAGCATGGGGTGGGCAGGTGTGCTCATAAATCACCCATCATGAAATGGGCAAAGGTGTTTAATCATCAAAAAAAAAAATCACTAAACTGAACATTGCCTCTCACGACAACATTAGCTGGTACACTGATGCTAATGGGTTCCTAGAACACTTACTTAGCAGGGGAAACCTGTACTACAAAGGATGGGCCCTCGAAAAAATAATTCTGATTTTTTGGGGAGTGTCCCCTCTCCTATATCCTCCCAGGCACTCACTGCCATTTTTAATTACCTTATCTCTTCATTGTTCACCTGTGTAATGTCTTTCTCTTCCCACCCCCCTAGAATAGAAGCTTTGTGTGGGCAGGGACCTTTCCTGTCTTACTCATCGTTGTAACCTCAGTTCAGGGCCGAAGCCATAGTAGTTCCCAGTCTAACGTTTGTTTGTTTGTCTGTCTGTTTGTTTGTGTAATTCATGAATGGTGAAAAGAACACAAGACTCAGATACAAAAATCTCAGTTAGGACACACCCTATGATAATGTTGACAACAAAAGCATCATCTTACTCCAAGTGCCTACTCTCATGCCTATAACTATTATGGGATGCAGTGTGGTGAAATTAAAAATGACACAATCTCAAGTTAGAAACCCTGAATTTGAGCCGGGCTCGGTGGCTCAGCCTGTAATCCTGCGCTTTGGGAGGCTGAGGTGAGTGGATTGCCGAGCCTGCGGGTTCGAGACCCACCTGTGCAACTCATCTCTACAATAAATCAAAAATTAGCCTGGCGTGGTAGCGCGCACCTGTGGTTCCAGCTACTTGGAAGGCTGAGGCGGAAGGATAGCCGGAGCCCGGGTCAAGTTTGCGGTGGCTGGGAGCTGCCACTGCACTCCAGTCTGGGTGACAGAGTGAGACTCCAATTCAAAAAAAAAAAAAAACCCTGAATTTGAATTTCAGTTCTGTCACTCACTAGCTAAATGACCTCCGATAAAGTCCTAGATTGTTCAGAATTTTCATTTTCTCTGAGAGTGGTTGTCTTAAAATTCAAGTAAGATAAGAGGTTTTTCAACCAGGTATCCCCAGTGTTAGTTATTAGATCAACATGCTCTCCAAGAATAAGGATTGTTTCATTTACCTGGGTGTCCCCAGCACCTAGTACAGGGCTTGGTTTAAGGCAGTTGCTCCAAAACCACTTGACAGATGAACGAATGCTTCTAATAAACCCCAGTATCACAAAGCAACAAACCTTAGGGAATTCAGATTTCTCTACTCCTTCAACCAGGAACACGCTTAGCTATTTTAAAATAAACAATATATAGTTGCTAACCATAGTCACTGTACTGTGGTATCAAACACTATAGCTTATTCCTTCCATCCAACTATCTAATAACCCATTTTCTTCCAAAGAGAAGCAAAGAGGACCTTAGAGCTAGAGTGAGGCTCAGGTGCAATAACCACATGTCCCCCATTTTCCTGCAAATCCAAGTTGTAATAGTCTGTTTAGGTGTGCAGACAAGTCTCTGACCATAGGATCCCTGGAACACATGGGTTGAAAATAGGATTTAAAGGGCAAGAGTCAGTATCCCCAACTGGAGAGAGAACAAGCTCTAACAGACAGCAGGGATCACCTCTCTGTCTATAGCAGGTCATTTTCCAGAAACAGGGCAATGACCTACCCTAAGCAGCAGTTTTTGATTCTCACGTTCTGAGAGACAGTCACAATATCTGCCTCCTAATTGTACCTAGAACCAAGGGTGAAAATAAGCTGGGGGGTGGGGCGTGGGACTCTCATGGTTGGAGCTAAGCAGTGTTAAAGTTAATAAAATGAGCATTCTTCCCTGGAACAGTGATTTTTCAAGATGGGGCAAGAAGGGTGCCTGGGAAGGGAGTGGGAAATGACTTCACTGGGTTGGCTTTTGCCTAGTTTAAAAGGGATAAAGCTCGCCTTTGTTATACTCCTGGCTTCTGTTCCCACATCTCTGATATATAAAGGCTTCTGACATGACATCCTGGTTTAGCGCTATTGTTCCTAGGATTTACTGCTGAAAGGACTATTCACGTGGAAACCTCCTCTCCCAAGCCAGGCTTCTGTTGGCCACTGTTTATTTACTTGCTGATTTAACATGCAGCCCACCTGGAAGTTTGGACAAATCGGGCTAGGTGTACCATTGTGCTGTCTCTCCCTATTCTCCCCTTGTCTGCTCAGTGCATGGAGGCAGAGAGTAGAAGATGGTTACTAGAGGCTGGGGGGTGAGGGTGGGACCCAGGGGAAGAAGAGAGATTGGATAATGTGTACAACATATAGTGAGGTAGAAGGAATAAGTCCTAGTGTGACCACAGTGGGTGACTATAGTTAACAATATATTGTATATTTCAAAACAGCTTAAAAAGATTCGAAATGTTCCTAACACAAAGAAATGATAACTGTTGGAGGTGATGGAAATCCTAAATACCCTGATTTGATCACTACGCTACATATATCAAAATATGACATGTACTCCATAAATATGCACAATCATTATGTATCAACAAAAAACAAATAAATAAAAGCCAGCACCCAACCTCTATTCATTCACCAAATGTGTCCTGAGCCTCTACCACATGGTAGGCATTGGAGGCTACAGCAGGAAGCAAGCAAGGCAAAGGTCAATTATAGCAGAAATCCATGAAAGAAGAAATAGGTCATCCCTCATCTTGGAAAAGATGAGCCACAAATGCAATGCCCCTTCCAGGACTGTGGTTAAAAAAAAAAAAATAGTCACAGTTCACAACCCGGTCAAGATTGAGGATCACTGGAGATGTTGATAAGAACTAAACTGTCACTCACAAGCGGACCCTGAACAGTTATCATAATACTGTAAGAAAGGGATTGGCAGTAGTGGGAGACTGCCGGGGGGGTGAGGGGGACATCTCATCAATAAGTGTTCCTGATCTCAAACCAGGTGAAGTGGGAACCAAAGTGAGACCCAAACTTTACCTACACAATGACCTTTTGTATACTTAACCCTGAATTTACCCCACAACTTAAAAAAAAAAAAACTAAATTGGAGGAGTCTTTAAGGAAGAAAAAAACCTCCGGTTAGAGAGAAAGCCCCAGAATGTGACCTGCAGCCTCCCATCCCCACCAAATCCATCCCAAAAGGTACACTTTAAGATTACTCTTCAGTCTCTGTGCAACCGAAATTTATTTTAGCTCACTGGAGCACTGTCAACCTGGGTTACAGAACAAAAACCTCGTGACAGACACAGCAGTATTCCCTCTAGGATAAAAAGGGCTTGTGTTTAATCCTCTGTCAATCAGGGGTGGGAGAGTGGGTATTCCCAAAGGAATCTAAGTGTGCAGAACTGGTTCCTTAGAGAGATGTGGCTTTATAGGCAAACAACACAGCACAGTGAGGAGAACATGGCCAATTCTATCTTATGAGAAGTTATGTTATATGTTGCAAGGACACTACATTCAAGGATGTGCAAAATCAGATGGAATCTTGCTTACTCAGGCCTGCATGACCCAATTCATCTAAAAATTACTAATTTCCTACTTTAATGTTTTTAATCCTGTGCCCCTTCTTTCCAGGTGAGTTCTCTCTCATTCTCTCTCTCTCTCTCTCTCTCTCTCTCTCTCTCTCTCTCTCTCTCTCTCTCTCAAACTGTGTTCAAGAGTTCAACTTTAGACCACTTACCCTCTCTGACTGTTTCCTCATCTATCAAATTGGAGTCATAATGATAATAATACTTGAGGTAATTATGAAGATACAATGAGACAATATGTCCACAGAAACAGCTCTAAAATCAGGATAGTGCTCTCTCTCTTCCTCGTGGAACAGGGAGGATCTATGTCAAATAAAGTTATGAAAACGCTGTTTAATATTTTTACAAATGTTAAGCCTAAAAAAAAAAAAATCATAACTCGCTAGAGTCGCATCTCCTCTTTGGTGATTGGAGAACTCACCCATGTTTGGGAAAAGTTACCCAGCCCTGTCAACACTCCTGCAAACCACCTGCCTCCCCGCTCCCTCCCCGCACCCCCAAGACCAGCAGAGAGGGGGACACAGCTCAGCGTTTATTTTTGGACCCGGCTGACTAAAAATACCGCCGCCTTCCTGTTTGATCACTCTCCCTTTTGACCTGAATGGATCGCGGAGCCCGGAGCCGCGCCGCCCGCCCCACCCTCGGCCCGCTGTCCTTTAAAGGAGAAGGGCGTGGGGACGCATTTCCGCCGCCCGGGGTACCGAAGGGAGCCGCGGGGCAGGCAGGGGCCGCGGCCCGCTGACGTCAGGGCAGCGCTCCCCTCGGCTCGCGCCGCCCGGCAGAGGCCGCCCGGAGGGCGGGGTCAGCCTCGCGCTGGGATTGGCTGGCCACGCGCGAGCGCCCGCGCCGGTTGGCTGGCGGGGTTTTAGAGGGAGTCTCGCTCTCCAATTAAAGCAGCCAGGCGGCGCCCGGCCGCGCACAGAGCTCCCCCCGCCCGCGAACTTGGCCATTCAGCCGCTGCGGTCCCCGCCGCGCGCCCTCGCGCCTCTGCCTGAGAAGCCAGGCGCTGTCCCTCCGCCCCAGAAGAAGATGGCAAAGGTGGCTAGGGACCTCAACCCAGGAGTTCAAAAGGTGAGCGGAGTTCTGCCTGTATTTACCCAGATCCTTTCTTTCACTTGTTTTCCCTGTCCATCTGTTGGCGGAGACTTGTCTGGAGGTAATGAGGAGGAGACAGTTACTAAGTTCCAAGACTGCATAGAAAACAAAATAGGTGGGAATATATGTTTGAGCTAACAGGCACACATCCCCCAATCCACCCTCTGAGCCATTTGTGTAGAGTATTTATTTGCAAAGTGTCTTAATTCCTTGGTGACGCTAGTTAAAATTTAATTAAGGTAAAACTTTGTGTGTGATCCTATTGTCTGTAAAGGGAAAAACTCTAGCTTCCTCACTCCTTGCCTTCTCAAGTGACTGAAATGAGGGCGGGGGGCATGTAATATTTACTCACAAGGAGTCTCCCCTTTTGCTATCATCCTAATATTTTGTGTTTTTCCCCAACAAACACACAACAACAACAACAACAACCAATTTTTTAGTTGATGATGTTGGCAGTGGCAGCAGTTCCAGCACAAGAGAACTAATTTCTGTCCCCAGGGTGTGCACATTTCTCTTTCAAGAAAGGCTGGACTGGAGCCCAGAAGGTCACGGGTAAACTACTGCACAGAGGCCTGTGGCTGGGCTTCTAGCTCCAATGTCCTGTGCATCCCTTACCTGAATGCAAATGGGAGAGGGCACAGACTGGAGATCTAGATGACATGTGACTAGAAAGGAAGCTCAGAGAGACAGCCTAAGCTCTCCAAATGGGGAAGCTGAGCAGCAGGGTCACGGAGAGTTGGTTCCAGCTGGCGGCAGAGTGTAAGGAAAGCCTTGGGCATTCAAACTTGGGACCTGCCACTTTTTAACTGCACCATATTGACCAAGTCACTTTTCTGAGCCTCAGCTTTCTTGTCTCCAATGTGGGAATAAGCCCTACCTCCCCTACTAGCCATAACAGCAGGGATGGTGACACTGTGGGTTAATCTCCCAAAGCAGTAATTATTAAACTGTGACTTCAGGGCAAAGTCCTCCTTAAATATCTGCCATTATCTGTGGGGTAGAATGAGAGGGAAGAAAAAAAGACTATGTTAGAATCAAAATAAAAATGCAAGCCAGCTCCTTAGGGTCACAGCATTCACCATCTAGTTTATAGTTGCATTCTTCTATGATGAATCTGCCCAGACCCCACACAAAGTCCAGTGGATCTTTCTGAATGTGTACACCATGTCAGATTTAATCTGGGCATCTCTCTGGAATGCACCATGCCTCATTGCATCTGCCAGACTATTTGCAGAAACAAGTCATCCCTCTGTCTGTGGCATTCCCATAATACTTTGGACCTTTGGAAGATACCTATTAATTTCTACCTAGTAGAAAGTTATACATGCAGTGCTCTTACTTCTCTACACATATTTCTGAACTCCTTGAGGGCAAACCTTTCTTGATCATCTCTGTTTTAACATAGCACACCATATAACACATAGCAGGATTCAAAACACTGAGTGAACCACTGAGAATATCTGTCCAGCTAAGACCATACTGTTTGTACAGGACACATATGCATTATTATTTTTTAGCTTATTGTAGCACTGTGATATTTGTGTATCTGAACTGTCTCCCCAAATTCAAACCAAGTAGAAAAGTTATGGGCTAAGGTGCCAGAGTTCCAGTGTCCTCTTGAAAGTAAAATGATTTTGGGGCATTTTGAATATAAATTGGTTGGTTAATATGCAAAGTGAGATGAGGTACATGGAAACCCCCCTCCTCACCACTGTTTTGAACACTGCTTGGAGAAATCCTTGTTTTTATTTTCCTTTGCATAAGAAAGTATGATTATACAGATCAGAGGTAGAACATGTTCTCCTTCTTGTCACCCCCTGGTGCCAACTTCCTTGACCTGCAAAGGGTTTATTTTCCATTTAGATCCAATTACAGGCTTAAAGAAAGAATGTGGTGGGTAGAGATGAAAGGGCAGATATTTTTCACCTCATGAGACTGTGACACTCTGGAGGAAGATCACCACCTTGTAGATTAACCAGTGCCTTCAACTCAAAAAGTGTAGAGGAAAGAAGTGGAAGAGAAGCTCGCCTTGCTGAACTGAACATTGCAGAAGTGATTAAGCACTGACATATCAGCAGCATGCTGAAAAGCTTTTATTGCATATTTACTTTTTAAATCTGCAGCAGTGGGGGGTTTTATAACACTTGGCTTCAGGATGCATAATCACACTCAGACATTTTGAAACAATTTCAGAGACTCTTAGAGTTGCAAGGAACCTACTTACAAAATGAGAAATGGCTTTAAATGGCATACACACTGTCTCCACTGCCCTGTCCCCAAGGTGAGGGAGGGAATCCCCAGCAACTGAAAAGTCATAAAAAGATCTTCAACACAGAACATAAAATCCAGTCACTGGGCTAGCCTCACAGGTCATCTAACCAGTTCCAGACAGGCTGAGGGACTTACTATAGGTTGTACCCACACATCATGGCAGAGCTTAGGAATTTCTCAACTTCTCTCACCCTTGATAAGTCAGATGCTTTCATTGGCTACTCATGAGCCGTTATTGGCTTTTCTGCTGGGAAAGGATTTTCTACTACAGAGATTTCCCCAAGAATGGTGAAATTGCCAACATTTCTTGGTAGCAGAGTCTTGAAAGTAAAATGCCATTCTTGGTGAAACCAATCACTAATATGAATTTGTTCTTTGTGTTTATTAAGAATGCTGATTATTGGCCGGGTGTGGTGGTTCATGCCTATAATCCCAGCACTTTGGGAGGTGGAGGCAATTGGATTGCCTGAGCCCAGGGGTTCAAGACTAGCCTAAGCAACATGGCAAGATCTCATCTCTACAATAAATTTAAAAATTAGCTAGATGTGGTGGTGTGTGCCTACAGTTCCAAATACTTAGAAGGTTGAGATAGAAGGAATTGCCTGAGCCCAGCAGGTTAAGGTTGCTGGAGCTGTGAGCATGCCATTGCACTCCAGCCTGGATGACAGAGTGAAACTCTGGCTCAAAAAAAAAAAAAAAGAATGTTGGTTACTAGTATTACTAGTATAGGCTTTGACCTCTGATCTGGGTTCAGACCTCAGCTCCACTGAGCTGTGTGCTGTGTGCTCTTGGGAAAACTGAGTCTGTGTCCTCACCTCATTTGAAAATTGAGAAAACGCCGGGCTCGGTGGCTCAGCCTGTAATCCCGTGCCTTTGGGAGGCTGAGGTGAGTGGATTGCCTGAGCCCACGGGTTCGAGACCCGCCTGGGCAGTGAGACCTCATCTCTACAATAAATCAAAAATTAGCTGGGCGTGGTAGCGCACGCCTGTAGTTCCAGCTGCTTGGAAGGATCGCCCGAGCCCAGCAGGTCGAGGTTGCAGTGGCCGGGAGCGGCCACTGCACTCCAGTCTGGGCGACAGAGTGAGACTCCAACTCAAAAAAAAAAGAAAATTGAGAAAACAATAGCAGCATCTATTTCCCGAGGAGGCTGCAATAGTTAAAAGAGATCATGTATATGAAGGGCTCAACACATAAGAGTTCAATTAAAGTTAGCCATGTTATGGTGGTGATGGTACATTTCAATGAGTATATAAATGCTGAAGGGAGTCTTTTGGTGAATGAAGAGCATACTTTTACTTATAACTATCCCATCTGAAGTGCTACCAACTTTCATTTAGCTGAACCTAAGCCAGTTGCTCAGCCTTGATAAGCTAGGACAATGATCAATGACCTCTGCCTTCATTCTCACCCAAAAGATGTAAAACCTGCTTACACAAAACAGAGCCTTTCCTTTTAAATATGAATTGCCAGTCATTGAGCATCTCACTCAGGAGTTACAGAATTTTAGACTTGGAAGGGGACTTGGAGCTCTTTCTACTTTTTGGATAAGGAAACCGAGGCCCAGAGGAATCATACTCCTTATCAGATTTTGCCAAGAAGGTATCCTGAAGCCTGTTAGGTTCTGCAAGAACACAGATCCTTTGACTTCCAAGGAACCATTTGCAGGAATTTAGAAAGGGCTAGAACAAAGAGATCTAAGAGCATGTTCACTGTTGGCTCTGTAGGTGCTGATCAACGTGCAGAGGCTTATATTTGTCACCCCTCGACTTGATACCCAAGGAGTAATAAGTGCATTGTCAGATTCGACTGGGCATCTCGCTCCACACTGCTCCACATCACGGCCCTCTTGGCTTTCCTGACCTCCAGGCTAGCCCTTCCCTCTGTACTCAGCCTTTCTTGCTTTCACCTCCAGTTCCTACAGTGTGCAAAACTGCTGGCACATCACCCGGGCAGGCCGGTCCAACGTAAACACGGCTCCTCGAGAATTGTCGTTGGCTCCTTCAATCTTAAAAACATATTAAGCTGTCACTTAAAGACCCTAATAGCCGAGACATTGGAGACATGCCCATAGGTGTATAAGCAACTTGGCCTAAAACAGAGCCTTATTTTTTAAAAACAGAAATAAATTATCCAGGTCTCCTAAAAGATCTCTAAAAAACAGATGCTGAAGTCATTACTTTGTAAATTGCAGATTCTTGTCCTAGTTTGCAGGTGTGTCTGAATATGTGGGGTTAGGGGCTGACAGTTGACCTTCACCAATGCATTTGCCACCTGTGGTGGTGGGAGGCCGGAAAAGGCTTAATCAGATCATCTCTAAGCCATCTCATCTCCAAGACTAGGGGACTAGCCCAGAGCTCACCAACACTCCTACAAGTAGGAAGGTGAAAAAATGACTTTGAGATTCCCCTCTGAAAGATCCTTAGATTGATATTTTCTCTGCATTAACTGACTAAAGGTGACAAGGAAGTATGGGCTGAATTCAGCAAAGGCTGAGGACCAGGAGAGAGGGGCTGCTGTCTGGGCTTTTGTGTGTCTTTCCCCCACTCAGGCCACTGCTGGTGATGAAAAGGTAAAGAGTGGAGAAGTGAAGAGATGGTTCTTCTTGCAACCCACTGGAGCTGATGGGGCTCCAGAGGAGGTATTTGATTTGATTTTGGGAAGTCGAATCATTCTTTCTTTCCAACTTACACATTCAAGATAGTTT